AAACAAATAAACAAACAAGTAAACACTATATACAGTTAAAAGCTAAAGAAAAGAAATATGTTTTAAGGTTACTCTTGAAAGTGTCTATAATAGGGGAGAAACAGATAGAGGGAGGAAAGGAATTCCACAGCTTTGGGGCAGCTATTGAGAAGGCCCTGTCCCCATAGCACTTTGTCCTTGTTCTGTGGACAGAGAGTAGTTGTTGGTCAGAAGACCTCAGTGCTCTGGCAGTGTGATAAGGGGATAGGAGTTCGGTGATATAAGGGGGGGGACTAGACCATTTAATGCCTTAAAAACAAACAACAAAATTTTAAAATTAACCCTGTAGGTGATAGGCAACCAGTGTAGGGAGGCAAGAATAGGAGTGATGTGATCTGACTTTTTTGACCTTGTTAGTATCCTTGCTGCTGCATTTTGAACTAATTGAAGACGGGATAAGGATGACTGAGGTATACCAAGATATAGTGAGTCGGTCGGCGTACGGGTACATGACCTCAGCTTTAGAGGATGTTTGCTTAAACCGAAGACAGAACACGTTTTGTTCTACGACATAAAATATGTCAGTTAATACCCCACTAGAAAAATTGTGAAGCTTTTCGTGTCTTAAAAAAGATGGTTGCTAAAAAGGGGTACTTGTGTTAACAAGCTGAGCCTGTCAGTGGCCAAAAGAAGCACTTTTAGTGGACGTAAATATGACAAGGCGCACCTGCCCTGAGTGGTTCCTCTGTTGCCTGTTTTGCCACTGCCGTCTGCAGCCCTTTCTCACAGTACTGGACCAACTTCAAAAACTCCTGTTCACACGAGTCACTTGCACTCAAAATGTTTTTGTACCTGTGAAGCACTTTGTCACCCTCGATTTCAAATGTGCTGCTGTGTTAATTAAATTTTACTTCATTGCAACTTAACATTTAACTTTAGCTTTGTTTCTTTGCAGATTCAGTGAGCATTTCTGAAGACAGACGCAGTCAGGGTGGTCTGCAAACACACCCACAGGTAATGTGTGATGGAAATTATGTCTCCTGTTTCCAGGCAATGCTGTTGTCAGCAGTGTTTGCATAGTTACCCTCCCACCAAGTACCAACCTTTGTGAAGGTTTAAACGTGGCGTCTCACATCTCTTACCTGACATGTCTATCTTCACTTAAGAGTCAGCTCAATTAACCAGGACAAACAATTTACCTGCTAACTGGCCAGCAGCATCATATAGTAAAGCAAAAGGTAAATATTAGGCTCATTTGAGATGAACTAGGCCTGGAAAGTGAACAAGCGCAGGCAGCTGCAGCAGGGGGCGGTGACAAAAAGCTGCAATGCAGTTGGACAGTTTCCCGACAGTTTCCAGCAGCCTTCAGTCCGTACAGGAAGTCACAGAAACACTCACATCCTGTCCAATATGTCGGTTTATTAAAATATTATCAGACTCATAGATCAGTTTGTTCTCAGTCTCCGATTGTTTTGATCTGTACATTATATCTGTGGTTCAACCTCCATTTACATGAATTCTCATGTAAATCAGCATCATATCAGTCAGATATAGTCAGGGATAGTCCGGGATTTACATCTCTACAGATGTTATTTTAAGAATCCTCACATCCCACGGACCACAAGTCTCTGTGATGCTAAATACTTTAATACACTTCAATGTTAACATACAGTAGACTTTGTAAGCAACTGCAGCACCTAGCTCTAAAAACCGCAGCCGCAAGATTATCGTTGTCCACTTCTGTATGATGTCAGAGCAAGTCAGGATGAAGTTGGACACAAAACTAACCAGCATGCATTGTGCGGTGATCACTGGTGATCGAACCTGCGGAGGCCTGGCTCATCTCGAATCAGCCTATTAACTTGCATCTGTCACATATCTCCTACATAACTTAGATAGTTTGACTGTCAAAAAGACAGTACACAACCAGATCAGATAAATTTATCAGTAGAAAGAACTCTCTTAAAGTCTTGATGCCACTCACAACCCTTATTTGTTTTTTCTTCCAGGGTGGAAATTTACCAGATTCATCAGGAAGTGCCGATAGCTCCTATCTAACAACAGTCTATTATAAACCTTTATGAACAGTTCCAGTCTGGTTTCCGCTCACGTCACAGCACAGAGACATCAACGATCTCCTGATGGCAGCTGACTCCGGACTATTAACCATCCCCATCCTCATCCTCCTTGACCTGGGTGCAGCCTTCGACACCATCTCCCACACCATCCTCCTCGACAGGCTAGCATCAATTGGTATATCTGACACACCCCTGAACTGGTTCAAATCCTATCTCTCTGGCCGCACTCAGTTCATTCAGTTGAAAACCTTTACATCCCAACCATCTCCCCTCTCCTCAGGTGTTCCCCAAGGCTCTGTTCTCGGTCCCATTCTGTTTATCATCTATTTCCGCCCTCTTGGTCATATATTCCGTAAATCCATTTCCACTGTCACGCGAACAACGCTCAGCTCTACCTTTCCACCAAGCCCACCTCCACCTTCCCGCCCTCCTCCCTCTGTGACTGTTTACAGGAAATCAAATCCTGGTTTTCTTCAAATCTCCTAAAACTCAACAGTGACAAAACCGAGGTTCTCCTCCTATGAGGCCAGGTGCTCTGAGCTGTCAAAAAGTTCTGAACTGAAAAAAAAAGGCACGTTTGATGCCTGGATCCACCTGGTGTCAGCAGAGAGTCCATTGTTTGGTGGTGTGCTGTCTGTTGGTGGGGCATATCCTGTGCACATGGCTGAAATGAGTGAGACTGTACAGAGGATTTGATGACTAGAGGGCGCATTCCCCCCTGAGTTGACTACTATCTGGGACCCCTCCAGCACTTTTGGACATGTCAGTCTCTGTGTCAATTTCCGTTCATTACGTTTTACAGTGCCTTCAAAATAAACTTCTGTTGTCATAGGAAACATAGGTTTACAGAAATGATCTGACAACTATGTCACCTGACGACTATGTCACCAGACATACACCAGTAAGTTGGTGGTTAAAAAAACTCAAGCTGACTTTCTGTTTCACAGGGGATACAAACAGCAGTCTCCTGAGGAAAGTTCGGTGTGTTTGACCCCACCACAACTCCCTCATTCTACTGTATTCTCTTTGTGGTACGAGGACTAGATTGGAGCACAACGGAGACCATGAGTAGTCTGTAATGACGTTTACTGTTACAACTCTGGTATAATAATTAACTATACTATATGAGGTAACTCTCATATAAGGTGACCCTTATATGAGATCAAGTCCAACAGTTTCCTTACTGACTTATATCACTGACAATACCAGTTAGATGTATTTACGTGATAAATAAATGTATTTTCAACATTAAAACACATTAGGCTACAACGCGCCATCTGATGCACCTATTTTGGTGTATTTAAATATTTCTGCACACTGGGGTCTCTAAACAAACAGTCTTGGAATTACATAAACTGGGTATGACTGGGAATCTGACAGTTGACAGCCATAAACTTCAGGCTATTTAAGTTCTGCACACAATTTGATTAAAGCTACCTACAAGATTTATAAATGAAAATGAAGAAAAACATTAGTAATTAGTAATATAATTTTTTTTTTCCAATCAATTCTTGATGTTGTCTGCTGAAGGCAGCAGAGCAGCAGTAAAGTGACCAGCTTAGCAGTAAATGTGCAGTGTAAGTCACAGTTTTTCTGTTAATAAAGGCTGCCGCTTCACTGCTTTCCAGCTGCTGGTAAAGTGAAGAGGGTTAACCCCAAAGTTACTTTGGCCCAGGAGATAAACAAATCTCCCCTGCTGCTGCCACCACCAGCTGGAGCAGGACAGGTTTACAAAGTATAAAGGGTTGAAATTTGAGTCAGAAAGTTTGACTTTGACTCCCTCTAGTGGTTGCATTAGAAACGACAATGTGTAGACATGCCCACATTAAAAATTATAAGATATTAGATGATATCATTGGATGTGAAAATCAAATGTTGTTTATTATTAACACACTTACTATCCGTACTTCAGTTGAGTAGTGTAATAACAATAATGTTTTTCACAGAGTCAAATGTCCATGTTGCTGTTTACTGATTAAATTTTTGAAATGAGTGGTGATATAGATACAGTTCTCCAACATGTTATATGTTATTTTATATTATTGTGACATGGTTCACACATAAAATAACTAGACGGGAATGTCTGTTTGTGGCTAATCCAATGAATGGTTCGTCACATTGATCCCAATTAAAATGATTTACAGGGGGCGCCTAGTAGCTCAGTAGGTAGGGCACCATGGCAGACGCCCCATGCACAAAGGCAATGTCTTTGCCGCAGTGGCTGAGGGCTTGAGTCCAGCTCGTGGCCCCCCGCTGCATGTCGTCGTCAAACTGTCCTCTCACTTAAGGCAAAAAAGCCCCCAAAAAAATGTTTTTAAAAATGTACAGTATAACAATCAGATATTGACATAACAAAATGCAGTCCAGCTCATAGTTCTGCATCACTGCACACAGAGGCCTCATACACCCACAGATATAAAAAAAAGCTTTGACAGTGACAAAATGTAGTTGTGGTTTTGTTGCTCCTGGGTTTGGCTTATTGTGTTTGCCAGGGCCATCTACTTTCTTGCTTTCTTTGTTTGTTTATCATTGTAATTATGATCAATCTATGCTCCCATACCTTTCAGCATAACAAAGACATTCAAGTATTATCAAAATATTTCAAAATCAAGTATTGCACGATTGAAGCCTGTCAATGCTGAAGTAATTTTCAGTGTTATTTCTAATGATACAATCAATTTAAAATATCAGTATTTCAGTCATAACAATTTAACTGTAATTAGCTGAGACCAGCAGCTCTATAGCTTGTTCTGCAAAGCTACCTGTCCACAATAATCTGCCCACTCTTTGGCGGTTAAAGATTTTGCAACCAAATCCAAGCAAAACATGTTTGCATTGTACGTTTCAACAAAGCAGGCATACATTACATTTGTGTATTACTTTGTAGTAGATACATTGAAACTTTATGTTTCTCAACAACGCTGTAGTAAAGGTGTGGTTAGGTTTATGCACAAAAACCACTTGGTAATAGTTTGGAAAAGATCATATTTTGACTTAAAACACCTTCATTTGGTGGCACAAAAGCTGCTGGAAAAGAAGGGACGGGTCAGTTAAAAACACCAAAGTTCAGTGCCACAAACGCCACTGGAAATGCTAAAAACAACCAGTGTTGTTGTCTGTTGGTCTTGAACAGTGGGCTGCAGCTTGGCAGCCATCTTGTCTAGATGTCATGCCATCCACTGTCCAGCTCATATCCTACGTCACTTTAGAAACACTGATATAATTCGTATGAAATGTCCAAATGTAACGTACATTTGGCATCAAGGTTGCAGCTATTGTGAATTCACACTTGTTTTAGATTCATTTGACAACTGTTGTATGGAGTCTTCATGTTTGACCAAAAAGACATCCATTGCCCTAAAATCTTAGTACACATAATCCAGCATGACATGATGTTGATAAGTTGGTATCTTCTTGATGATGTACTCATTTAAGTCCTCCTCCCACAAGCTCCTCAGCCAGCTGAAACATTTGGCTGCCAAGTAGAGTGCACCAGCACCAAGGAGAATCTTCATGAAGCTGATGCCACCACCACCACCACCACCACCACCTCTGTTCCATCTCCTGTCTTCTTCATCAAAACCTAGAGACAGAAATTCACAGAGGGTCAAGCAGCACCCCAAACAAAGCCTGTCATTCCTGCAATGAATAAACTGTACTGTCTTTAACAGGACACAGCAGTGCTGATTTAAATCCTGTAAGTCAAATGAATTATGGTTTCTTCAATTACATACCATTAGAGGGGAGGATATGCACTTACTTGAGGTTTCATGTAGTTTCTGAATTTCTTCCTTCACCTCAGTAGCATAGAGGTGAACGGAATTAAGTCTGTGGTGCTTACAGTATCAAAAAACTAATCAGCCTTTTTTTTCAGACATAATACTCCTGTTACTGAATAATCCCCAGACCTCACTGCCAACAGTTTCCATAGGGACTGTTTCTTCATATTAAAGTAGCTTCTGTGACCGCATGTTCTGTGGATTATCCACATTAATTAGGGCATTTTTACTTGAAAGACAGATTAAGTATTTAAATGTTATTTTTCAATGTTGTGAGCACCACAAAAACATTGTGTTAAAGGAACAGTGTGTAAGATTTAGGGGGATTCAGTGGCATCTAGTGGTGAGGGGTATAGATTGCAACCATCTGTAGCATCTCCTGGTTAAGCCTGATTTATGGTCCTGCGTTAAATCAACGACATTGCTACGTCGTAGGGTACGTGGCTACGCAGAAGGCTCGCCATAGCCCCCAGCGTAGCCTGACGTGCACCTCCCCAAAAATGTAACTACACGTCGAGTTCGAAGGGTTCACGACAGCGTCACGGCAACGACGTAGGTACGACGTAGGTAGGTACGTAGGTAGGTACGTCGTAGGTACGCCGCAGGACCATAAATCAGGTGTTAGGAGTGTTCATTGTTCAGGAGGTTTTTAACGGGAGCTGAATTATCTGCAGAGGTCTCTTCCTCTGCAAAAAAACCCATCTGGGCCCAGTTAAATTTTTTTATCTGGATCAGAATAATCCAGATTTGGAAATCCCATGTTTACTGTCCAGGATCAGCTAATCCATGTTATCTTTGTGCTGGTTTTTCAAAACAACATTGGAATGGATCACTCTGAGCCAGATATAACCAGTGCTCTAAATGTGTCTACACATCACGATGTAGTTAGTCTGCCAATAAGCAAACTGCAATTACCAGCTATCACTGTAGGCTCTGCCAAAGTGACAAGAAAATGTGATAAGCCCTATCTAGAGTCAGTATTTGGTTTGTCTGTTCTGGGCTACTGTAGAAAGATGCCGGTGCCACATGGCGATCTGTGTGAATAAGGACTAGCTCCCTATGTAGATATAAACGACTCATTCTAAGTACTAAAAACACGATGATGCTTAATTTCAGGTGATTACACGCTAAAGAAAAAAGCCTTATATTCAATTTCTGCCAATATATCCCCTAAAAACGACACACTGGACCTTTAACAGCCATTGCACTGAGGTGGCAGAAGACGTCGTCACAGACAGATGTATGACAACCTAGGCAAATAAAAACCAAAACTACCTGCATGGCTAGAGCTAAGAAAAAATAATAATTTGGGTGAACTGACCCTTTAATCCCTGTAGCTAGCTAGTCACACAAAGCCAGACACATACAAATAATCCCACTGTAGAAATGCAAAGAATTGTGAGACACTTACGGGAGTAATAGCTGAATGCACGTTGCCCTTTAGGCGGCCCCAACGCAGACAGCCAATAACTGTCATCATAGACTCTTGGTTTCTTTTTGGCTTTAGGCTTCCTGTATTTCCGTTGCACTTCACTGTAGCCAGCCACAACTCTGCTGTTGTTTGAGGTTACGTTGACCATGCGGTTCCCATACTGGTCATAGCTGAAGGGCTCCATGTTTACATCCAGTTGCAGGTTAAAGGTTTCTGAGAAGAAACTTAAGTCATCATGTACTGCTCTTGCTACAGATCCACTGTAGTTCTGCATTAAGTCGAAGATTTCCTGGACTGAAGGGTCTGGGTAGCGTATCTCCCCCATATTGTCAGCCTGGACCACCTGCATGTCTCCCCAGTAGCCTGTCTGGGTGAGAAAGGTGGTGAGATCAAGCTGCAGGTTCTGCAGGACTTGGATGAGTTCAGGGCTGACTTCGTATGTCCTGTCAGTGTTGAACCTCCCAAAGGCAGCTCCGTCATGCTCTGTGACATACACCGTCTCCACCACCCTGGTCTTCACCTGGTAACCGATGATGATCCGGTCTATATTGTAATCACCATACAACCCATAATTTTCCCTCACATATGCGGGGAGGTTTGCAGAAGCTGGGTAGGTTTCTGTGTTCAGGTTGCCAACTTCATAGTACACAACCTGAGAGAGACAGATAGAAGGAGAGAGAAATCAAAAAGTGTATTGAACACGATAGATGGGAGAGAATTACGGTAGGCTAGTGGAGGTACCCTGAATCTTGTTCATTAATATGAACAGCTAGGCAGTAATATTTATTGGGGAGGGATGCATCAAATATTCAAATAGGTTCATAATCTTAGGAAATTAAAAAATATTTATATATATATTAATAAAAATATTTATATACAGATAAAAATATGAAGAAAATAACTGCTATGCTACGATTGGCAACCGTGCACTGCCATCCAAAATAATCATTAGCAAATGTAATCATAATAATAAACAAAACAAATACTATGGTGTTCTGCAGTTTTGCGTATGGTTTGTCAAAGTGGTGTTGCCATAGCCACTGCTTGACTGTTGTTGGAAGGTTTATCACTGTCAAATTGTCTATTTCATTACTTTCAAATGTATTAAAATGTGGAAAACTAGACTGTAATATGACTGTTATGTGTTGTTATTTTATAGTTTTGTTAAGTGTTAGTATGTTATAAAACAGGTTAGAAAGTCATAATACAGACTGTCATAAAAAATCAAAATGTGCAAATCACCCCAGACCCCCCTGGAGGGTTGCGTCCATACTCGTCAGCCCTCCCAGTTTTTCTGGGAGACTTCCGATTTACATTGCTCTCTCCCAGTTTCCTCCCTGGGTCACAGTTCTCCCATATTTCTCCCGATTCATGACAAATGTTCCCACCTTTTTTTCCTTTTTGTTATCACAACCTGTTCCTGGCACCATACAGCTTGTACAGGAAAGGCCAAAGCAGACTCTACCTGCTGAGGCGGCTCAGGTCTTTTGGAGTGCAGGGGGAGCTCCTGAAGACCTTCTTTGACACTGTGGTGGCATCAGCCATCTTTTACGGAGTAGTCTGCTGGGGCAGCAGCGTCTCGGCTGCAGATAGGAAGAGACTGGACAAGCTGATCAAAAAGGCCAGCTCTGTCCTGGGATGCTCTCTGGACTCTGTGCAGGTGGTGGGAGAAAGGAGGATGACAGCCAAGCTGTCATCTCTGAGGACTAATGACTCCCATCCTCTGCAGGAGGAGATAAAAGCTCTGGAGAGCTCCTTCAGCGATAGACTGATTCACCCAAAGTGTGTGAAGGAACGCTATCGCAGGTCCTTCCTGCCTGCTGCTGTCAGGCTACATAACCAGCACTGCTCACAGTAAACTGCACCATGGACACTTGAGGGACACTATGGACACTTTATGGACACCACTATAAGCATTGCTGTCCCCCATGTTGTTGTTTATTTGCACATTCAATATTCACTTTGCACTAAATATGTTCACTTTAATCCATTGCTCACTTTTTATCCACTGCTCATTATTATTATTATTTATTGCTATTTATTACTATTTCTTGTATTTTTTGTACTTTTTTCTGCATGCCTAGTTTTTTAAGTTTTTAAATATTGATATATGACTCTTTACCCTTGACTGCTGTAACACTGGAATTTCCCAATTGTGGGATCAATAAAGGTGTATCTTATCTTATCTTATAAGCACTATGGCTCTAAATGTCTACTGTTTCCAACCTCGCAACACTTTAGCTACACCAAATGTAATTTCCTGGCAAGAATGTGATATGTGAGAGAGTGTAAAACAAAAGCATGAGGAAAACAAAGTCTGAGAAATTCAAAATTATCTGGGCGTGGCCCCACAGACCCCTCAGTTTGGCTTCAAAATCCCCTCTGTATTTGAGGTCTCAAGGTTGGCAAGTATGTTTGGGTCACAGAAGGTGTCAATGTTGAATAGGTGATTATGGCCCTGTGGGTCAGGCTCCAAAAACAATTGATGCTAAACTTCACTTCCCATGATGCAACCCAATAGTATCTCTTACTGCAGGGGAGTCCAAGCTTATTCTGAATGGGGGCCAGATTAGATGATATGAAAATACCTGGGGGCCAGCAGCTTCTCACATCTCATGGGTTATTTAAAAAACTACATACAAATGAGAAAAGTGCGACTATTTCGTCTGTCAGTGAAAAAGTATTCAACTTTCTACCGCTCCTAAAAGTGGCAGCCCTTGTTGTCTTTTGCTATGTCACCATTTCTTTGCTTGTTTAGCGTCTGTTTCTGAAAACATTTTAGTTCCTCCTGCATAGTTCCTAATTGGTGCATGTCCTTAAACTGTATGATAGTGCTGCCATCGTGAAACAATGCAAAGTGAACTTGCTTGACTCACCAATATTGTGTGGTGGGCCACATTTAGTATATTCTGAGAAACAAGTCGAGGGTTACTTAAAATCAGTCAGCTGGCCATGATTGGCCCGGGCCGGACTTTGGACATGTTTGTTACTGAGACTCTACCTGAGTGGTAAACATCTGGTTTGACCTCCTCCAGAGGCACAGAAGACATTATGCATCTGTTTTCACAGGCTGCGTATTCCAAGTGATGAGTACGTTGATCTTTATGTATAAAATTGCTGAAGTGCCTCTATGATGACAGAAAACAAACAAACTATGCCACAAACCTTTGTTTTACCCTTGCGCTTCTTCAGCACTGGCAAAAGCTCCTCAACGTTGCCAAACAGGTGGAAGCCGTAGCAACCGTTCTCTGGTTGACAATCTGACACCAGCTGTGAAGACAGACTATGGTCATTACACATCTTAGTTGTACTTACTGCTTTATTATACACGTTAATATGATTGGGAAATGGCCAGTATTACTGCAGCGGCATCACCCATTGTTTGTATTGAAATATACTGTAGCTTTGTTGTGACCTTAATGGGGCACAGCTGAATATAGGCTACAGACAATATCCATTAATTTTATGGTTTTCTGAAGTGGTTTTATGTGTGTACTGTAACTATGTTCCTCAAAAACCACAACTACAATCATTAACATGCCATACAATTCAAGTTGTTATCTAATCTAGTTGTACCTTCATGATGACCACAAAGTTAATGGGTTCACAGGTCACACACTGGTTCGCAAACCAAAACAGGAGCTGAAGGCCGTGTCGTGGAAAAGGACGGCCAAACCCTGAATTCATCAGGTGCTCCAGAGTGCAGATCTGCCACTGAACCATGGTGGAGCTAATTCAGACAAAAACAGACACATACTATTGCTATTAAACAAGACACGCTGTTGGAGGTTGTTTTACCTCACCAAAATCCAAAACCACATCAATCCAGCAGACAGTAATATACCGAAATCACTGCCAAATCATATTACACAACAAAATAATATATGTGGTTTTAAAAAAGTACTTGAAAATGAACTGTACTAATTCATAGTATTATCTGGTGTGTAAATGTTTCATGGGCATTCTCTTCTACTGTATGTTAATTTATGTAGTGTCTTTTTGTGTGTGTGTGTGTTGTGTAAACTGCACTCACCGGCCACTTTATTAGGTACATCTTGCTAGTACCGGGTTTGACCCATTTTACCGTCATAACTGTGTTATTTTTTCGTGGCATAGATTCAACAAGGTGCTGGAAACATTCCTCAGAGATTTTGGTCCACATTGACATGATAGCATCACACAGTTGCTGCAAATTTGTCAGCTGCACATCCACAATGCGAATCTCCCTTTCCACCACATCCCAAAGGTGCTCTATTGGATTGAGATCTGGTGACTGTGGAGGCCATTGGAGTACAGTGAACTCATTGTCATGTTCAAGAAACCAGTTTGAGATGATTTGAGCTTTGTGACATGGTGAGTTATCCTGATGGAAGTAGCCATCAGAAGATGGGTACAATGTGGTCATAAAGGGATAGACACGGTCAGAAACAATACTCAGGTAGGCTGTGGTGTTTAAACCATGCTCAGTTGGTACTAAGGAGCCCAAAGTGTGCCAAGAAAATATCCCCCACACCATTACACCACCACCACCAGCCTGAACCATTGATACAAGGCAGGATGGATCCATGCTTTCATGTTGTTTACACCAAATTCTGACCCTACCATCTGAATGTGGCAGCAGAAATCCAGACTCATCAGACCAGGCAACATTTTTCCGATCTTCTATTGTCCAGTTTTGGTGAGCCTGTGTGAACTATAATAGAACTCAGTTTCCTGTCACCTGGTGTGGTCTTCTGCTGCTGTAGCCCATCTGCTTCAAGGTTGGACATGTTGGTGGTTCAGAGATGGTCTTCTGCAGACCTTGGTTATACCCAGTGGTTATTTGAGTTACTGTTGCCTTTCTATCATCTTGAACCAGTCTGGCCATTCTCCTCTGACCTCTGGCATCAACAAGGCATTTTCACCCTGAAAATTGCTGCTCACTGGATATTTCCTCTTTCTCAAACCATCCTCTGTAAACCCCAGAGATGGTTGTGTGTGAAAATCCCAGTAGATCAGCAGTTTGTGAAATACTCAGACCAAGCCACGTTTAAAGTCACTTAAATCACCTTTCTTCCCCATTTGATGCTCGGTGTGAACTTCAGCAGGTCATCTTCACCATGTCTACATGTCTAAATGCAATGAGTTGCTGCCACGTGATTGGCTGATTAGCTATGAGCACTTAAACTGGTGTACCTAATAAAGTGGCCGGTGAGAGTATATCAACAGTGGATGTGCATTATGATGTATTATTTAGTGTTGTGTATTGTGAATGTATGTTTTGTATTGTTGCCATGTAGCCGAGGAAGAATAGCTGCTGCAACTCAAGAGCAAATGGGGATCTTAATAAACAAACAAATACACACACACTGTTGACAGTTTTAAAGATTGGCTATGGTCTATACAGATGACTGCATACATGGAATAATTATAGTATGTAATAGGCTGCTTGAATATAAAAAACGATACAATAATTAAGGATATAAATGGCTGTTATAGTAAAGGACATATATATAGAAGATTATATAAAGAATGTTGTCCAGTTTATTTACCGTCTCTGCTGCTGTCTCTGTTATTTCATAGCGCTTCCTTATCTCTCCAGCACAGACAGTAAGAAGTGAAAACATCCAGCAGCAGCGCCGCCCCCGTCTGTGCCCGCCGTGCGTGCTCGTTCACGTCGCTCCGCAGCCACGCGCGTTCAATAGACGTCCCTGCTGCGTCATTTGCGCGCCGCCTCGCTCCTGATGCACGTCTTTTCCCGAAATCCTAAAGATAGATGTTTCGATTTCAGGTGAGTATTGTTCCCCAACACGCGTGTTACCCCTCACCTGAGGATGATTTCAGGTGTGTCGCAGAGAGCTGGTGGTTTTTCCAGCTTGCGCGTGATCTGTACGGTGAATGTTGTCTATTGTTTATGCGACTGCCAATTTCAATGCGGTCGGCGGCCTGTGAAGCAGCCCGCTTGCCTGGTGACATGAACCACAGGGAAGATGAGGGGCTCCCTTCCCCTGGTGACAAGGATGATCTCAGTGTGTCATAAATTAATCTAACATATGAAATGTGTGATAGTTATAAGCGTTGTTAATCTGTGTCATGTTGGGTGGTTGTAGGGCAGCAGTTTTACATCGACGTGGGTCCTGCGTGATGTAACGTCAGCATTAGCATTGAAGCTAACAGGTTCTCTTGCTATTTACAGGCTGTCAGAAGCTCCTGAGTTATGTATATTCATATTATTTTAACAGATAGATTAAAGGGGAGCTACTAACTGGAATATATAACGTTTTGTGAAGTTTATGTGTTCATGGCTCGAGTCAATCTGCCTGCTTGTGATGGTTTAGCCAGTGAGAAATCATGCTAGGTCACTGCTGACACGGCTAACTAATGTAACCAATGTCAGGCTAATTGCTATTCTGAGAAAGTATTTACTGTATCATTGCTCTATATTTTAGTTTATAATAGGTGTGGGCGTATTCTTGACTATATGACAAGTTAGTAAAAATATGTATATTATTAATTTAAGAACATTAAACTGCTACAAAAAAGGTAGATAGTTACATGTCAACCTAACAGTTTGCCTTTAAATATTCAGTCAAAACTAAGAAAAAATTATCCCTCATTTCTTAAGCGTGTGAACAACAGCAGTGACTCACAGTGAGATTCAGATTCTGTATACAATATTAATAGTAGAACAAAATAAAATCACACAAATTACACATTTAAACAGCTCCCAAATACAAAAAATGCACTCTTGGCATCTGTATATATAAATGAACAGGCACAGCGAGCTGCACGCAGATTTACATTACCAAAGCTTTTATCACTTGATGACACAGACTCCCATGTGCACTCTAGGGGTGGGCAATATGGCCTTAAAATACTATCAAGATATATCAGTGTATTTTTGTGATAACGATACTGTATTATTAATTTAAGAGCACAAAACTGCAACAAAACAAGTGATATAGTTTATATGTCAACCTAACAGTTAGCCTTCAAATATTCAGTAAAAACTAAGCCAAAATGATCTCTAATTTCTTAGTTTGTAAGATAACAGTAACATGGAGTGAGATTCAAATTCTCTATACAATATTAATAGTTCAACAAAATAAAATCTACCACTACCACCTCAAATTACACATTTGAATAGTTCACAAATACAAAAAAATGCACCCTAGGATCTATCTATCTATCTATCTATCCATCTATCCATCTATCTATATGTGTGTGTGTAAATCAACAGGCACTTTCCTTCTTTTAGCAAAATCTGATGCACCTGGACCTTTAAGCTCTGCCATTTCTCCTTTAATCATCACGCTGTAACCTGTGACAGGCTGTTATGCTACAGTAACCACCGCAGAGTCACATATATGTAGTTTTTTGTCAGGCCAAGAGCGGCATGCAGGTTTACATTACCAAAGGTTTTATCAATTGATGACACCAGCTCCTGTGTGCACACTAGGGGCAGGCGATATGGCCCTACAATAATATCACGATATTTCAGGGTATTTTTGCGATAACTGTACACCTGATGATACGACAAAGTGGTTTAAATATGTATATATTATTAATTTAAGAAAAAAGAATTGCAAAAGAATAAGTGATATAGTTTTATGTTTTTTTTTGATTGATTTATTGATTGGTTGGGGACCATGTTTAACAGCAGCATAACTGTACCAAATTATTTGTTTGCAAACTCTCAGACAACTCATTTATCAAGTCATATGGTCAGTACTTTTCAAATAAATGCATTTTTACTACAAAGCCTTAGTGTTGGTGCCTGGCTTTGAAGACAGCATAGATAAGTTTCACTTTCATTTCAGTTTTTCATTGTGAGGTTTTTGATAAATAGTTTTTATAAACAGATGTTTGGATGTAATTTTGCTGTTAAATGTGGACCCCAATCAATCAATGAATCAGTATGTTAAATGTTTTCTGTGGAGGCTTGTGGAAAAAAATTTCTACAAATTTGTGTTAATGGAGAGACGCATCAGTTTCTTCATGAACTGACTCTTTGCATGACTTGCCATTGAATCTATAGATAGAATGAAGGCATGGATCTCCTCCGTAGAGTTGAGCTAGTGATCAGTTTTACAAGCTTAAACCAGTTTGATTTTCTGCAAACCGGCTGAACCAGCATTTGTTAAAATGACACATTCTGGCAAATTAAAAAAGTAGCCAACATTAGCAACCTTTGCTGACAACATGACAGCGCGAAATCTATTTGTATTTAATTAATTAGATTTTTTTTAATTGTATACTTTATGAATCACCTTGAGGAGAAATTCAATTTCAATTTTCATTAGTGATAAGCTGTGTGACAGCGTTATTAACAAAATATTATGTTTGTTTATTAACTGACTAACTGAGCCACAAGTGTCTGACATGCCGTGTGCTATTTACAGCTGAGCCAGGGCTGACAACATGAAGGAAATAAAATTTCAGTAGAGATGGGGAGGGGGACTAGCAATGCCTATTTTGTTTGTTTGGGTGATGAGACATGGCAGAGTTAGTCTCGCACAAAAACTGAAACTGCACCAATCAGGATGGGATATTAACTCTTTTTTTTTTTTTTTTTTTTTTTTTTACACCTGTCACTGTGGCCGGTGGATTTCAAAGTCTACCATTCACTCAGTAGGTTGTTTTTTGGCTGGTGAGGGAAACAAATCTAGCAGCCACATGCAGATTTTACCAGCATCTGACTGGTGGCTGGTAGACTCACAAGTCAGTCTTTAGACGCTTTGCTTAACTAAAGACTGATGACTTTCTCCCTGATTTTGTGTTTAGATGGGCGGATACAATTTCAGAGTTTAAAAAAAAACTCCCTACGTTGCAGAACCAATAGTAAATCCGCAGGGCGGTCCTTTGGTGGCTCGCTGAACTCTTGTGCTCGTAAACATAATCCTACTAGAAACACGTGTAGCGGTACAAAATGGCTCAAGTTGCTGTAAGTCCTTCATTTCCACAATCTTGTGGACTGAGCACACGTTTGATAAAACAGAGTTAAATCTCTCAGCATCCATTTTCAAGCTCACTGTGTGTTTGTGTCCTTGCAGACGAGAAAAGGGGGAGTGCACATTTCCGGGAGGGCGTGTCCTTTTCAAAAATGCAAGAGGCGTTGCTTTGTTGCCGGCCGTTTTCTCCGGTGTGTTAAACACACTTTAGAAAGGAGTGTCCCCAGACTATCAGAAGGCGGAGATCTCTGATTGTCTGGTGGCGAGACTAGGTGGCTGGTAACATTGGCAACATTTTGTATTTGAAGCCGACAAAAGCAGTGTCCTTACTGGCTGCAAGCAACGCTGTGCAACTGGTTAGGACACAAAGCATTCAACTCGGACGCCCTGCTTCTATTTATTCCTGTGGCTTGCTTTGAAAGCACTGCATGGACGACGAACAGCTGATTGATGACGTTGAAATGTGAAACTATCGTATGAAACATTCTTATTTCACATTTTACCTTTATAAAAACCTAAATAAGGTGGCAGCTTGCTGGAGGGAGATTGCCTGATGACCTATTTGCTTTTGGCTGTATTGCAATTTGTCATTTCCAGTAATTATCACAATATAAAATGAGTTATCTCTTGAAAAGTGTAGAAAGATGGCAAGAAATTACCCGTCTTTTTACATGGTTACATTCCAGTCTGATCTCGAGTGCACAGCTGATATTTACATGGTTTGTTTACATGACGCAACAGGTGCTTATTAAAGGGATTCAATATGGACAGAGAGCTCTGATGTTAAGAGATTTGACAGTCGCTGGTGGTGATAAGCGGATGCTCGTTTGCTGTTGGGACCCCACGGGTGTGTTCTACCTCAGATTGGCTGCTGAGTTGGCGACGGTGCGACACCTAATGGTAAAATTCGGTGTACTGGTCCAGTGTTTGGCTGAATATCAGACTGGTTTTAATGTTTTTTTTACACTGGCCCAACCCTGTCATCCAGTCTCCAAATTTATGCGCTTACATTTATTTAACAAATATTGGTTGTAACTTTTGTAATTGCCATTGGATGGTGATGGCATTTGACTACGGGTTACTCATGGGAATGGGGAATCAACTCACCATTATCCGTCTGCCAACTCTGCTAAGTGGCCTGTTGAGGTTTTCAAATATAAACATTAACGAAAAGGTGGAGAAGATGGGTACAAGCTACAGTCCCAACCTCATGGACAAGCAATACCATCTCTTGTCCATCTCTACATTGGAATAAATAAGAATTGGTGTGACAGTGAGAATACTGAAATTTTATCCTGTTCCTGTTCACCCTGTGCCACAAGGGACTAAACACTCTGGATTACGTCAGTACACCACTCGAGGCAGCTACAGAGCAGAATTGCTGCCTGACCATACGGCCATCTGGCTGAGGTCAAAACATGTAAACAAACTACAACACATGCCTCAAGTGATGCAAGAGGTCAGGAGGTGGTCAGGCCAATCAGAGTTTGCCCTACAATCTTCAATACACGGCACAGACTGTTTCAGGACACCGACGTTGACATCACCAGTAACATAAATTCATTTAATGTGTAAAACAACAGAAGCTGCTGTACCCAAAACTACAGAGAAATTATTCCACAACCAGAAACCATAAAATACTAGAATTATCCAGGATGACATAAACAC